CTCTTATATAGGGTGATGTATGCAAATTCAGGCTTCAGCTAGAGACATCATTGTGATTGACTAGGTAGCGTATGCACGTCTGTACGTCTGTAAAAGCTTAGGAGTCGTTTTTTCCGCCAAAATCTATTGCGGACGTAATATTTCCAAGTGTGCTGTGTGCAGCAAAGTAAATTTCAGCAGACTGATTTTGGCTTATGTGGACTTCATTTGGCAAGTAATTATGAGGCCAAAATCAGTCCGCCGGACCGATTTTTGCCCTGGACCAAATTTTTCCTGACAGGCCTATCATCACCATCATTAGCAGCAGCATCAACATTGCCTCAACACACTATTTATTTCGCCATCGTAAACATGTGCGTTCATTTTCACTACTGGCGTTGGTGGTAGTTCGTTGAAACTGAATTAACAGTGACTATTATAGCGGAAATGGAAAAGATTGAATTGTCAATAAATAAATACAACAAATCTTATTTTATTATTAAGTGAACGATTTTACTCTGATTTTTCAGCTAGCGTTACGCTAGGCTACCTGCAGACCCCAGATTAGCTAACGCCATAGAGCTAACGCCAGTGATGCTTGAATTGAATGATTTGACCTCATTATTGACCAATCAGGATTGCAATAGTTAGTTACTTCGATCTCTTTCCTGTGCTCTCTATAAATGAAATGGTAAAAGGCGTTCTTTTTCTATTGCATTTTACTTTAGTTATAATGTATACGATTTGTTGATTGTGTTTTGTAAGATATTTTAAACTATTTAGACTATTAAAAACCTGCAACACCAACAATTGTTCCACAATGCTAGCTGAAAAATCAGAGTAAAATTGTTCATTTAAAATACAATAATCATATAAGTTCACTTCCAACAATTCACATATTTAAAAGTGTTAATGATGGACTGTATTTATTTTACTACAGTTAGAACCCGCACATTATTTCAAACTGAAAACTATTCCTCCATAGGCCTATATTATTACTAGTTTAACGCCAGCGTTTTAGCGAACGCCGTTTGTGTGAACACTTTGGAATTTTAATCCGTGGATTAGCTTACGCGGCGTAAGCTACGCCAGTCTTACGCCTTAGTTACTTAACTTTAAGTGAATTAAGCCTTTATCCGTGTATCAATATTCTTTCTGCACACATCCCTAATAAAACTTGTTTTAAATTAAAATATGACAAGAAATCTTTAAATGAATCACAAATTTAACATAGATAAACAATTTTATTAACAACAAAAAGTTAAGCACAATACGCCAAAGCAAAATACTACAAAATAAACTTGGTTTAGGTCTAATGTACATTTGTCAATGATTGTATATTATGATGTTAAGATACCTGTTTCTTAACGGCAAAATAATTGTGTTAGATAAACAATTTTATTAACAACAAAAAGTTAAGCACAATACGCCAAAGCAAAATACTACAAAATAAACTTGGTTTAAGTCTAATGTATATTTGTCAATGATTGTATATTATGATGTTAAGATACATGTTTCTTAACGGCAAAATAATTGTGTAAGTTATCCTAGACTATGTACAGTCATGGTACAGTTGGCCTATTCAATTTTTTTTTTTTTTGGGGGGGGGGGGAATTTTTTTTTTGAGAGGAAAAAAAATTCAATTTATTTTAAACAACATAGTAAGTAGGTCCTAGTGTAGAATACTTCCCTTTCCAGTCTTTATAAAATTTTTAAGTCAATACGCATATTTCTCATATAATTATCAGAATAGGACATTTAGTAATCATAAGTTGCTTTCATAGTATTAATTGTTCTTTCATATATAACTTTGTGCCTACTCATATCCAGTCAGGAGTTATGTGTGGCGTAGCAATTGTGATAGCAACTCAGCTGGTAACCACACACTCTAAGGAATCTTATGGAGCCTATCCAAGATGAGGATGACTCACATGTGGGGGGGGGGGCAAGATAATCAGTCAATAGATAGGATACAATGCCTTAATTAGTTAAACAGAAGAGACCAAAATATTGAAACATTTGCTAGTGATTTGGTAAAAGAAATTTCACGTTAAAAAATACAGAAACAGCAATTTGTTTCTCAAAATGTTTCTCAGAAAAACCTTACAAAATTCGATCAAATGGGAATGGTTCTTAAATATTCCAGATATTCCATGGGAATTAAACGGACTGGATAAGAAAAAAAAAAAAAAAAAAAAAACGTAGTAGAGAAAAAAAACCTTTTTTTTTTTTAAACGGAAACACTCCGACAACGACTGCTGTTTATTCTGTAATCTAAATATTAAAGAAGACGACTATCATCTCTTTTGGGGTTGCATAATTCAAAATAGGCCTGGAAGGTAAACAGATTATCAAACCAGAGTTCGGATATACTGCAACTTTTAATGACCTTGTTGCAGTGATGGCGACAGGACCTGCCCGACGGAGGGGCTAAAGGCCCCGACGGGGGGGGGGGCTAGTGGAGCGAATCGAGTCTCACTTGGCTGGGGGCCGCTTAGTGCCCCCGGTAGAGGTCCAAGGGGCTTATCCCCCCTGGAAGCCACAGATATTTAATGAATTATGGCAAATTTTTATTACTTATTTGAATGATAGGCATAGAGTTACTATAATATGACTTCATGTAGGCTGTTTTCTAATATCAGCTTCCAAAACCAAAAAATGTTTAATAAAGCAAGAAACAAAGAGATGCAATGTAACCATCTAATTTATTTTCAAATCCTCATTCTTGAAAATGAAATTCTACATTTTGGAAATTTTGCATTTGTCAACGCTGTCAAGGTCGAGGTTGCTTCACCTATCACGATGTATTCTAAGCATCATGAGGCTATCCAAACGAGCATTTGTCATAACAGAACGCAATTTATTTTTATTTAGTATCATTGAACTATTATTATTATTATTATTATTATTATTATTATTATTATTATTATTATTATTATTATTATTATTATTTATTATTATTATTATTATTGTTATTATTATTATTATTATTAGGGCCTATTATT